CACAGTTATTTCCAAATTCATTTCAGCCATCATTCTGTCTCTTTTAGACTATTTAAGTCTAAGACTTTTCTGAATCATTTCTGATTGGAAGAAGCCTTATGAAATTGCATTGGACTCCTTGAAACCAGCCATCAGTGAGCTCACAGTAGAACTGACAATTTAGAACAGCTCTGTGGAAGAAGGAGAGTTTATGCCTAAAGAGTTTGGACTGTGGAGTGGGACTGCCTTTCTTGCATCCTAACTCAGCCACTTAACTAACTGTGTTACCTTGGATAAGCTTGTTACCATCTCTGTGCCCATTTCCTCATCTGTAAATGAAGATAATTATAACACTCACATAGTAGGATTGTTACAAGGATTAAGTGAGTCAGCATGTAAAGTGCTCAGAAAGGTGCCTGGTATCATGGTTAAAGTCCAATAAATATCAGTTGCTCTTAGGACATTATTCTGTACTTCATTATCAATGAAATACATGGGGTATTTCTCTTTTCCTCCTTTTAGACTCACTGAAGATTTTTGTTACATTATATTATGTCACAGTTCTCAGTATATACCCCTGCCCAACTACCTTTGTCGTGAAAGTGAAGTCCCAGGTCTCTAGAGCCTACTTGGTTAAACAAGATCGGTAAGACATGCTCCTTCAAAAATAATTAATGTCAGTTCTTCTGTGATAGTTTGAAGTTATACTTATTTCCCATACACAATAAGGAGTTGACTGGTGTTTCAGAAAGTTACTCCTGTTCTGCCCCTTCCCTCTTTCTCCTCTTCCCTCCTCCCAGCCAGGTGGCACGCCTCCTGGATTTCACATTTAATTTGAATTCACTTGTTAATACAAAATGAATCAGGGTATAGGCCAAAATGGACTGTGCTTTATAATTCCAGCAGTAATGGGGTTTGGAAGGAGATAATATGGAAGGTGTAGTAATACTCTAAAATACTCTAAAAATTCTTGTTTTTAAATGCCCTCCAAAGAGCTTGTTGTTATGTGACTTCTCATTGAAAGATCTAAAATCCTAGAACCAGGAATTTACGGTTTGCGTTGTCTAATAAAAGCACTGTTAACCAGTTTTAATAGATCTTTGTTCTTATGTAGGTTTTTTTTTTTTTTTTAATCTTTTCAAGACTGTATACTTTTTACTCTGAATAGTTTCTCCTCCTTAGGTGTTCTTGTTCCAAAAGAATCTGTATGTTCAAGAAAGAGAAACAAAAGAAAAAAAAAAACACTTTGATCACTGCCAAATGCCATAGTGATTACTACAGTGATCAGTTTTTTTGCTTTATAATGATTGGGTCATTTTTTGGCCTATATATGGAAGATTAGTTCATAGCACAAATTAAAGGACAGTTTCAATTTCTCACTGATTTACTTCTCTCTTTACTTATTATTTATTTTAACTTTGAGGTAAATTAACAAGTGATGTTGAAGAGGTACTAATGACTCCTAAAAATATTTGAAAACATTTCAAATATTAGAATTAGAATTTACTGGGAAAAAAATATCACAAAAGTAAAGCTATTGACACTGCCTAAAAACTTCAGAATGTTAAAGTAAATCATTTTTTTAAAAATATCTTTTAAAATACTAATTTAAAAAGTTTAAATTCTGGAGTTTCATTTTACATAGACTACTTTTTAAATGTGAGTGTATCTAGGTTTATTTTGCACCTGATTAAAAACACCATTTTCCTTAATCTGTCAGCAGCTCGGCTGAGCAGTCAGACTGGATTATTTGATATCTTGTCTGACATGAGGACGGCAGTCCAAAGAGAAAGATATCACAAATTGGTGCCACACTTCAATAAATAGAGACATTTTATTTTTCGCCAAGCTAATTCAATCCAGTTCAGTTAACTCTTTTTTCCCCCTTAAGGACAGATCAAAAAAGGCAGCCATGAATGACTGAGTTTGTCAAGTGTTTGACACGTCAGTGTGTGAATATAAAGCAGACCACAAGGGAGGGGTTCTGCCTTTAGACGTCAGACAATACCCAGTACAAGAGCCTCTCCCTCAGATCTGCACTGTGGGGAGCTGAAGAGAGTGGCTCAGATCACTCAGACTCACTCAGGTAGAATGTGAAGTAGCCGGGCTCACCGCACTGCAAACCCTTCCCCTTAGAGTTGCAATTTTTCAGCATTCTTAGGAATTCTCAGGCATTTTTGAGCTGCCATTGAGTTGCATTTTAATTTTATAAGCTGTGACTGGCTACTACATATTGTTAGTTTTGTAATTTTAATAAAATCTTTGTCCTAAATGTCTGTTCCTTGAAAACGCTTATTGCAACAAATATAATACCATTATTTCTGTTTCTTTCTTCAGTAATTTCTTCCTGAGACATATACTGAAATGTATAGAGTCATCATATTGTTCAATCTCAGGGATGCAATGGGATGGATTATGCCACCAAACAGAAAATGTTTAAATAATATTTACGAGAAAAGATTAACATTGCCCAAATATTACTTCCTTCTCTTTGGATCGGGCCTAAGGAATGTGTCATCAGAACCTTTATGGGCTCCTGCCCATCCTGCTGCCTGGGCTGCCAGGCTCCTCCATGTCCTGCAGTGACGCTGCTATCTGACAGCCCCAGGCCATGCCATATGTTTGCAGAGCCCTCCTTGTCTAGCCTGCCAAACATATCCTTTATGTCATTTTAAATCCTGCTTTTTCCATAAATTGGGCATTCCTTGACTAATTGCTGTGATAGAACATTTCATTTCTCTCTGAGGTCTAAAAATTTAATTATCCAGAGTGCTTTCCCCCACCTCCCACAAGTACATCTCTACCATGCGCCTTCTTGAAATGAGACGTTATTATTCTCTGATTCATCTTTGTGCTCTATATGTTCAGGGCTTCTGCAGTGCAGCCAATGCTCACTAAGTAAATCTCAATACAGGGAATGGGACTAGGGCTGTGTGTCATAGGAGGACAGAGTCTAGAGCCAGGCAGCCCCACCAGCTACCAACACAATGACTATATGCAAGTTGCCTAACCTCTCTTTGTGACTTGTTTCCTTACTTTTAAAATAAAGATGTGGAAGGTATTGAACCATAAAACTACCATAAGGATCATGAAGATTAAATGAGTTAATTTTGGTAAGGTGCTTAGAAAAGTGTCTGGCACACACTAAGTGCCTTGTAAATATTTATGACATAAAATTATTTCATTATTATTTTATTTATGAAATAGAGTAATGTTCTGTCTGGTAGTCACAGTGCTAAGTGTTTTACATGCTGTTAACTCATTGACTCTTCACAGGAGTCCTACGTGGTAGATACTGTTGCCATCTTCATTTTACAGATGAGGGAACCAAGACCTAATCAAAGTTAAGTAACTTGCTCAAGGTCACAGGGCAGAATGAGGATTTGAATCCACACCACATGGCTCCAGTCACTTCTCTGCTTGCAAGCACCTTGTATGCTGTCTGGACTGAGTGTAAATCATTTTGTTTTTTAGACTATCACAGTCAGATGGGAGATGTAGCAGAATGTGTTTCTTGACCTATTGGAAAACATGCTGTGAGATAATGGGGTAGGAGAGATTAGTCCCACTGGACCCCCTGTTGGCTACCTTGGATTGAAAATCAGAGAGGATGGAAACCACATGTGTTAGCAGCTGCCACCACAGCACTCTAGGCTAAGGTGGACTATATGAGAATGCTTTTTTGGATTTAGTTTTTGTCTTTTAAGCCACTCCTTTGTGGGTTCTTGATGCTTTGCTGGTATAGTGGCTTGAGTCCAGGGCCATGCAGAACACCATAAAGATGTTGAGAAAATGTGCCAGCCACACAGGCCTTTAACTGGTGCGTTGTAGGTTTTTAAAACATGTTTCACTCTTCTCTGCATGCCACCAAGCTCTGCTGAAATACTTAATTCATCCACAGGAGTTCTAGTTAGAAAAGTCTAGTAGTCAATTCTGGAAGCCAGTACTTTAAATCTTAGTCATAGCCATTGAAATCTTGGTTACTTGGGAAACTCTCTGAAGGTGGTTGTACATGCGTGTATGCCCTATATATCTTAGAGGGTAGGATTTGTACACATAATTACAGATACTTTACCAACATTACATCCAGTGTCCAGACTTTTTGTCACACAATCAAAAGTTTTAAAAGTAAATTTCTTAAATTTTGAAGGGATCCCAGTTATTTTACTGTCAAGGTACAGATAATGAAAACATACATATTTTATAGTTGTTGTTTTGTGTATGGAATAAAAAGCTTCCTAGGACACTAATGGTTTGTGAAAGTTTAAAAGGCTAATACCGTTAAGTGCTGGGTAAAAATTAAACTTGAAAAGCACCGATGAAATATTTATTCATCAGATGGCTTTGAAGTTGAGCGTCTTTTTGGTTACAGTCCCGTCTAATGGATATGTTTCAAAGAAGAAATAGTTATAGCATTCAGCTGTGATGTTTTCTTCTCTGCGTGGAGGAAATCTGTGTTGTTTTGGTTCATTTAAGTTTTCAAGACTAGCTACTTAAAAATCACATCAATGAGAGAAATGGTTCCCACAATTCTGAATTTATTCTTATTGATAATGTTTGAAAGCCGATTTTTCTAACACGGCATTTTTAAACAGAGATTGCTTTAACTCTTTCATTCTATAATCTTTACAACCTAAATTTACTTAATTCTCCCTAGTTTTATATCAGAGGGCCTAAGGTGAGTGACTGTGTGTAAATATAGTGGGAAATCTGTTACACAGATTAGTTTTACAAAATATTTTGCTGGATAAAATTGCTATGTTTAAAGATGTTTAGAAACTTCGTAGTTCATTCTTCAGTTCTGATAACTAAAAAGCTTTCTTCAAATTTTAAAATTGTAGATGCTTTAAGAATGTTGGGTAAATACTGGATTTTTTTTCTACATCTTGGGTTAAATTTCACTCATCTGAATAATGTAGGGCTTTAGAAATTTGTATTACATGTTGGCTAAAATTTTTCTATTTTTGTGTTTCCTCCCACATGAGTTATGACACCTTTAACATTTGTTTATGTTTTATTAGTTTTCATATGAATCCGACAAGCAATGAAGACCTCAGGAAAATCCCGGTAAGTTGCTGAAGGGGTTAGAGGGTTGTCAGAGAATAAGCCGGTCTTTTTCTCTGGCACACATTTCTAAAAATGTCTTTGTCTTCTTGCCTTCTGTCTCACTTAACTAAGGATTGTAGCTTAGCATAGTAATTTTAGGAGAAAGAAAGAAAGTAAAATGTAATCTTTGCCTTTAATATGCAAAGGGTGTGACTCATATGATATATGAAAGTGTAAGCAAAATAGGTTATAATGGAAGCCAATTTAGGATATACATATTTTGTTTACAGATTGTTTTGAAATTAATATGCAAGATGTATGTCAGGGTCAAATTTGTGGTTATGAAATAAGAGCATGTAGAAAACACTATTTTTTGTTGTTGTTGGGACAAGGATTGAAAGAATAAAGCTGCTTGTTAACATTCAACAATAGAAAAGCATCCTGGCAGGAGAGCCAGATAACCAGGAAAGTATTTGAAAGAACAAATACTTTTCAGGACACTTATCTTACTCATCAGAACAAAACCAAATATGTTAACAGGATTGGTAGCGACCACCTAAATCAACTCACGTATTTTACAAGGATTATTCAGATAATCTTAACTTTATTGTATTATTTGAAGTCCAGTATTTAATCTCTGTTCAGAGTTCCTTTGCATATGCAATCAATTCTAACTGTATTAAACAGAGAATAAATTACCTTACCAAAATATAGGCCAATTTACAACCATCTGTCCTTGATACATGTGATCCAGCTGTATAGTAAGAATTTTTTTAGACAACATGGCTAGAAGAAGCTAAGGTGGGTTTAGGGTTTATTTTCTGAGCCATTCTAAATGCAGTTGTTTATCTTTAAAGTTGTGGAAACTGTCATAGAAGCACAGGACTTTGTACTATGTTCTTACTGTTTTATTTAAATGATTCATAAGTTTTGATGTTTTATAAATTCTCAAGTCTTTATAATACGGCAGTCTGGTGAGAAATGTGAGAAAATATGAAGTCAGCCTTTGATCAGATAGTAAAATGAATTCTATCAGACGGTTACTTAATCTCAAACAAAATGCAACATCAAAAAAATCGATTTAATGTGTAGCTATTGTTTATTAAGTAACCTTAATTACAATTTCGATTGCTTGTAAATGTACTTTTCCAAATCTTGTAATTTATTGCTGTAAAAGCATCCTTAGAATTCTTTAAAGAAGTAAAATGTGAAAATTGTTTTAGTTAAAGGATTTAAAGGTGATAAAAGAATCCTTGATGTGTGATTATTTTTCTCTGGAATACTAACTATTCTAAGTGACAGTTAAAGGATTACTAGGTGTTGTTAATTTACTGCAAGATACAATTAGGAGGAAGCACATGTTCATACTGATCATGGTTGAAGAAAAGCGTTCGAACAATTTTTATGTGGAAGATTATAAGATGTTTGAAGTAATTTACATTAAGTTCTCCAATAATAGCCATCCACCAAGTTATTTTTTTCCCTCTGGACATAGTATTTTGTAATTAAGTTTGTATGTCTTATATGCTAGTGCCAACACCTGTCTGTGAAAGCACAGTGTTTAAACAGGAGCAGTAGCCAGTTGAAAGGGCAGTGTGAGCTCTTTAAGGCCTAATTAAGAACTGAAAGGGAGATGAAGGGAGTAGGACAAAAGATGTGAAAGTAGCTGAGATGATATTCCCAGAGCAGAGTTCCTCATTAGAACAATAATGAGATGATCAGAGAATGCCAAGCCTTCATTTTTTTCTCTCTCTCTCCTCTAGTTGCCTTGGATGTCAGTTAGTACCCCACCAATATTTGGTTACCAGGACAACCTTTCTTTAAATCTTCAGTTATTTTGAGTCCTGATAATTTGCTTTTGTTTAAATTTAAATATTGTAAAAAATGTACATTTCCTAGTTTAAATGTGTAGACTGTGTAAAGCAAAAATAGATCACTATGAGTTCTCAAAATCTTATGCATAACTGTAATATTTAAAATTCTGGGTTAGAAAACTTCATATAGTAATTCTAGTATTCTCTAGTCCACACTTCTTATGTCTGCATATGGACGTTTTTAACAGAAATGGGGTAGAAGTGAGAAAGTTTTGTAAAAAGGGAAGAGAAGAAAAATTTACATTAAATTTCAAAATAAAAAAAATCTTAAAAACATCAATGTTGTCTGTGTAGAGTGCTGTAAGAAAAAATATTGAGCACTTTGGAGTAACCATTGTAGGTTGTATTTGGTCTTTGCTAGTTTGAAGAGTTCTGAATTTTGCAATCTTTTCCAAGAATAATAATAAAAGTATCTTTTTAAAAATAATTTTTTTGTATTTGCCTGAGAGTTTTCCTCTTTAAAAAAATAATTTTTGTAATGAGCACATATTTTAATTTTCTGTTGTTTCTATTGTTATTTTATTTGGAGTTCTATCAACAAACAGAAATATATATATATATATATATATATTTCTGTTGATTGTGTGTGTGTGTGTGTATATATATATATATAAAATATTCACATATTATTATGGAGAGAGAAAGAGAGAGTATCATCAATTTAAGAATTTTATGCCAAACTTAGAAGGTTTACATTGTTTTCAAACATAGGATAAAATCTGGAACTCAGCATGAAACTGTTTTTAATTATTTTATATTCTTCTCCAGAATATAGTTCATAGTACATATGTTTCTAAGATGTATTCCTGCCTAGAAACTTGATGCTGAAAGTTGGGGTAAAATTTTCACATAAAAGGATAAATGGAAAATTTATTGAAAAGGCCAGAAATGTATTTCCCGGAAATCTGTCTACACATCAGTGTTAGATTGTTGTAAGGAAAGAAAAATAATCCAAATAACATATCTGTATATTCTAGAGTATGGCTATAAAGTATGACCAGTAGTCTGAAATAGTAATTGATTATTTTAAAAGATTAAACTGTTAAATTGATTTATATGATGGCATTTATTTAAACTATGTCAAAATACAAAGTTTTGACACATCTTTCATCTTCAGTGTTGTAGAGAAATGTTAAAAATAATTTTAACTACATTAACTGGTTAACTGGTTAATAGTGTTAAATATAACAGTGCACATTTTTTTTTAACTATTTCATTGCTTAACTAGTTTGGAGAAATCAGTTTGTATATGTATAATTTTATTAAGATTAGAGAGACTCGAATAGATGCTTTTATTATGTTAAATAAAGAAAAAACAGAAAGCAGTCAGCTAATCAGTAATTCATCCCATTTAGCTTCCTTTCATTAATCCCTGCAATTCTCATAAGAACCTGAATTTCTGAGTAAATGTTTTATTAGAAAAATGAAATCACATTAATTAGACTTTATTACTTTTAAAAGTGCAATTTAGAAAAATCACTCGGTATACCAATTTTAGAGTTGAAAGGGACCATGAAGAATATCTCATCTATCAGATAAGGAAAGTGAGACCTAGACTGGTTTCTCTCTCAGATTTATGCAGAATTACTACTTGGGTTGAAGTAAGAAACTTTAGCTTATTTTAAACAAATTTCAAAAGTATATTGAACTCCATAGTATGTCTTCTCTCTACTGTGGAAAACTGCTTAATATAATCTTTTATAACAATGTATTAATATACATTGAGTTATGTATCTCTAAACTATATATCATGACCAATTAAACTAGTAGCTATGTGCGTGAGTGTGTGTGTGTGTGTGTGTGTGTAGACTTACGATTAATTGATCTGAGAGAGAATAGAAAAGTAAAACAACACTTGTCTTTATAATTGTGCTTTAATGGTTTTAGAACAATATTTGAAATGTTTTTGGGGATGAAGGAAACATAACTGAAAGTTACATCTGTTTCCAGTTTCTAATGCTAAAATAAACTAAGTTGTTTTAGATATATTTTATAGAATTTAAACTCACTTCCCTTTAATATCCTCTCTATTCATTCTTACTAACTCTGGTCTTTCATATTTCAATAGCCGTATAACTAATCTTAACCCCCCAAATGATTCACTGTTGCCATTTTACTTTTCCTAGAGCATAGCTTTAATCGTATCCTTTCTCTGTTTAGAAACCTTCAATAGTTTCCTATTTTCCTCAGCAAAAGTCTAAAAATTCTTTATACTACCATTCAATATCCTTGGGGGTCTATTGCAAACCTACCATTTCAGCCCCACTCTGCTCCCTGTCCTGTACCATATTTTCCAGCCATGCTCTACCAAGTACCTGTTAAACTGGATTACCCGTTATTGGCCACTATGCCTTGAAGCAGAGCTCAGTGCTTGAAATGCCCCATTATGCATTTCTGCCTGCAAAATCTTGAAGGCCTAGTGCAAGCTGTATTTTCTCCACAAAGCCTGAGAGATTCTATGAAATTGGAAGAGGTTTTCAGTCCTGAATTTTTTCACTTATCCTGAAGAAGTGGGTGTGCTTCAGTGACCCAAGCATCAAATTGGTATCTGTACTATAGCTTCTCTTTCTCTGGTGTGGTAAAGTCCTGGTTCCTTGGGCTGAGAGGCTGGGGAACTAGGGAGGGCCAGTGAAAAGTTAAACTTTGGCTTTACTGGTGAAAACTCCCAAACACATACCACTATTAAAGTAGATCCTGAAAATAGGGAAAGACAAGTTTAATTCTTACGGGGGAAGGTCATTCTGCATTCACCAGTCCCCATTCTCCATTCTCCAATGAACAGATCAGGTAGTATTCCTTAAGAGCAAGAAAACCGATTTCCTCAGTATTTTAGTTGATTTTCCTTAAAGCCAAATGGAAATGTTTTGAAAGATAATGTTGAAAATCATTTTAAATTGTTGGGTTTAGTGAGAGAACTATGATTTAAAAAGAATAAAAAATTGCGTAGTTGTATTTGGGCATTGTATTTTATGGAATGAAAACTCTTAAGTGTTATATACTGTAAATAAAAGGTGATGTAACAGTGCCTTGATTAAATTCCTGAGAAATATTTTTCTTTAGCTTTTGATGTAACAGTAATATTAGAATGCTCTGTAATAATAGTGTATTAGTAAATGTCTTCTAAAAAATTTTTTTGGTTATATTTATGCTTTTGCCTAGAAAGAATTTTTGTCAATAAAGTTAACTAAATAGATGAAATGGGAGAGGATGCAAATATACTAACTATAATATTAATATAGTTGAACTCTTGAGTTTCCTGATAACCAGGGTCAAAAAGAGAAAGAAGATAAATTAGATATTATTACTAGGATAAAGAACTAGACCAGTTACTCAGGGAAGGAAAAGTTCTGCCTGTTCTAAATTGTAACAGAAGTTACTCCCATGGGGCTTCTTATAAGGATACTCTTTGATTTAATTCCAAGTGCTTCCATTTTCGTAGCAAATTGGAAAATATTTTTGCTGTTTCGGTCTTCACTAAGAACTTCACATTAAATCACAGTTCAAAGGAAGCAGCTTCATAAGGACACATGTCTAAGTGTATCGTTTTCAGGTGCTTCTTATAGTTCCTTTGAGTTAACTTTTAGAGATCTTTCGTTGTTATCTATTTTAATTGTATTTATTATAGAACATTTCATCTCTTAATCTTAAATGATATGACCAGTCTCAGATATTAAGAAATTGCCCACAATGTTAAAAAGAGCTTTAAGATTTGGAGTTATAGCCAAAACTTTGGTGCACCTGCCCTAGTTCTTGCCTCAGCACTGGCTAGCCTTTTTGTGAACTGTCTCATTCACTCTAAGCAAGGCTAGCGAAAATCTTCATCGGGGTTTGAAAAATGAAAAGTCGAAGTTCTAGAGAATTCTTAAGGTTTGTCCCAGATGATATATCTACGAAAGTGACAGTCTTTATCTTGTTCTAGGACAGCAACCCCTTTGATGCCACTGCAGGATATCGTAGTCTGACCTATGAAGAGGTTCTGCAGGAGCTGGTGAAACACAAAGAACTCCTTAGGAGGAAAGACACCCACATCCGGGAACTCGAGGACTACATCGACAACCTCCTTGTAAGGGTAATGGAAGAAACACCCAGTATTCTCAGAGTGCCATATGAACCATCCAGGAAAGCTGGCAAATTCTCTGACAGTTAATAAAGCCAATTATATTGTATTTACAATTGGACAAAGAGAGAGAAGGAAGGGAGGGAGGGAGGAAGGGAGGGAAGGAAGAAAGGAAGGAAAAGGAAGGAAGGAAGGAAAAGGACGGAAGGAAGGAAGGGAGAGAGGGAAGGGAAGGGAAGGAAGGACTTGTTAATGGAAAGAGACTACAATATCATGTTTCATTACATATTCTCCTTCATTTTGAAAAATAGTTTCACCTGTAAATATTAGCAGGAACTATCAAGAGTGACCTTTGAAGCAAGCTAAATAGTTAAAACTTTTAAAGTGAAAATGGGCCAGATTCTCAATGAGTAAGTGGTTCCCTAGGACTCACTCAGGTGCTGGTACTGACCCACTAATCTGCCATAGGCCCAGAAATATCTTCAGAAGTACATGAGTTGTTCCTCAGGAATCGATTTTTCATAAAGCAGAATTGATACTGTGGCTGGTTTCTCAGAAATCAATTTGTAGAAATATTTAGCTTCAGGAATACTGCTCATTATAAACACTACTGAAAAAAGTTTATGTTTTATATACACATATGTACTTGAATATATATTCATGTATCTTGTATATAAAATATAGGCATATACCTCATATATATATGTGTTTTTAGAACACTTAGAAACAACTGATTGCCTCTAAAGTTAGGCTACCAATTTCTTAATTTGAAAATGTGTGTGCTCTATCAATGCAAGACGAGTCATCATTCCTACTGTCATGGTTTGTTACAGAGAAGCTGCTTCAAATCACTCTTGACTACATGGACCTTGGTTTTAAAGTGAGCTGCTATGTATCATTCTAGCAACAAAGTTTTTCTCTTTTCCCAAAAGTAATGATCTCAAGTTCTTTTTTAAAAAATGACAAATTTTAGGAGATTTCATTAACTTCACAACAGCATGAATTTCTTTGAATTAACTATCTTAACATTTGACTTTGTTTAAGGTATAAGCAGAATATAAGCTAATATTGTTAGTTTTATTGAAATTCTGCATGCCTTTAAATCACTAGCAAAGCAAATATTATAAAATTATATCTGATAATAATTGTGGGAAGTATGTGATTATCTGGTGTCTGATAACCCAAAGCAGTGGGCAGATTCTAGGAATGAAGAATTAGGCTTGGTTTCAGGTTACATAAATAATAGAGCAGATGGTTGCTTTTGGGTCTTGAACCAAAATAAGACTTACTAAAGGAAGAGTGAGTTTTTAGAACAGACCTTTACTAGCGTGACATTTTGCATTACTCTACATCCACCCTTTAACAATTGATTTATTACAAACTTACATTTTATTTTAAAGCTTGCTTCCCCAAAATGTTGATTTCTTCCATGGATAATTTTTATATGATTTGTACAAAATTTTTCTAAAATTTAAGTTGAAAAGCAGTGGTATAAAAATATTGCTAATCTTCTACTTTTCAGCTGTAAAAGTCTTAAATACTATAAAACATTGAGAGTATCTGTGTCTTTCTAAATTTAAAATGAAAAATTAGGCTCCGTATGGAGACTTATATATTCCCCAATCCTTCCATGAATTGCATTTTTTCTAATACTTATCTCTGTTAAGACTCCATTGAAAATTAAATAAGAAGCAGATATAATACTTGTGGTTTTTTGTTTTTGTTTTTGTTTTTTTTTTTGCTTATTTTAGTTTTTGGAATCAGAGAATACTTGACCAAGCTGATATTCATAAACTAAAACCCCTTGTTATTTGTATCTTCTGCATTTCAGTTTTACTGTAAGAACATGCATTTTGAAATTATGAATATTTTTTTAATAAAAATTAAATACTTTAAGAAAGGGAAAAGGAAAAATAGCTTTTACCAATTTTTTATTCACTTAAAATTGTGTCATAAACCTCAAAATCTGGTATAGAATTATCTTTCTCATTTGAGGTCTTGGTAGTTATTATTTTTTTAACATGGTGCCACTTTTAATTAGCTAAATGTTACAAATTCTCAGCATTTGTTTTTTCTGGTAGTATTATTTAGTCTTTTTTCATTCACTTTTTAAAATGCCAAAATCTATGTTTTTAGTATTATGACATTATCTGCAGACACTATAATAATATGCTTTGGCCAAGTTTGCTGTTTATAGAGTGAGCCAAGATGTCAGTTTTTTACTGGGGTTATATTTTACATAACTAGAGCTCATTTAAAAGTATGGTTCAAGTACTGCTATTCTTTTTAATGAAGATACTGATTTTTAAGGAGTGATTTTCTTTCCTACATAAAACCTAGTAAGGTTTAGACTTACTCATACATGAGTGATTTGGTTATAACTCAATCAAAATTTTTATCTTTAAATCTGAGACAAGTACTACATTTAAAACTGGATCTGTTAATACATTCATCACTGCCTGAAAATTTGCTGTTCAAATGTTTATGAATTTTCACTCATTACCTAGAGTAAACTTACTGCATATTTTTATAATCAATCAAAATAATAAACTAAAAACGAGTTCCCAAGTAAACATTTCAGTGTTTTCTGTGTTTGGGCAGAAGTGCAGAGTAGTTTTAGTTTCTAGCATTGTAGAAAAAGAGGCCAAAAAGGTCACCTTAGTTTATTTTTCCAAAATGTAACTTTAAGTATTTTAATGATATATTTCATTAGTTGCTTACAAATGGAAATAAAATATATGTGCTCATTAAATAATGCACAGCACATTAGATTATAGATTTTACTTTTCTTTTATGCTTAAGACAATGCATGCCCCAAAACACTTCTACCACCAAGAAGATTTTTTTTTAATCACAGAATTGATACTTATCTCAAGCCTACCTTAAGCTAACATACTTCTGTTACGTAATTAAACTATTTCTGCTATTGTTTTTAAAGCAGTATTATTTTATAACCAGTTCTAAAGTTCAGCTTTAAAAATATTGAACGTACCTTCCTACTGTTGATGCTTCAAGTTTCATTTATTGAATACCAGGGTCGTATCTTAGAATTGTATATAACATAACATGTAACCCATTCATGAAAAATATTTAAGTATTAGTTTTTGCTGCTATGTTCTGCTTTGAGCTTAGTTTTGCCATCCTCCCATGAATGTAGTATTATCCATAGAGTATACATAACTACATCTATTGCTTTAGGCAGTAAATCAAGATTTGATTGTAATTTTCCATCTGTGAAAATGTTGCCTTGTATTTAAAAGGGTTTCATGAATGGAAACCTAAGTAAAACTAAGCTCATTAGTGACAGACTTGCTTTCTTCATGTTACTCCTCCACCAACTCTCTCACCACCACACATTCCTGCCGACCATCCCCGTAAGGGTGCTTATTATTCTTCAACAAAGAGAATCTAAAAAAAGCAAAAATAAAAACTGTTATCTAATATATCTACAGTAATTGTTACAGTAGAGCTTTTATTTTTCTCTGTAGCTTTTCAGAAAAAGTGATCTACCTTGGATTTATAAATCAAGCTGAAACTTTTTGGTCTTACAGTCCTCACACTCTTATGTCTTGTAGGTGGTAGGTGTCACTTGTGTGTATATGTAAGTGAAGTATGATGCATGCTCATTCACTTGGTCTCTTTGAAGTAAGGGAAAGGATCACAGTGCTGCTGAGCCATCGTGGTAGATGGAAGGGTCTGTCAGCACACATGGAAATAGATGTAGAACTTTAATAATCCAGATGCAACCATTGGAAGTATTTAATATGCAATTGATAATTAATCTGCTTATGAAGCATTTTCTGATATATTTAATAAGGTGTAGAAGCTCTTCAAGCATTAAACTGGTGTTGATATTTTATTCCATTTATTTTCTCCATCAAAAAATGCACTCTCACAGTGGAGTTGAAGTCTAATAAATGATACACATGGGCCTGTTAATCTTTGAAGCTTCCAGATGGTTTGTGTTTTGAGGTACAAAAAAATGCTGCAGATCTAGAAATGCATATATAGCAGGTATTTGAAAGATAGAAGCATTATTTATAACTGAAGAGTTTGACACTTACCTTCTTAAGTAAATGCTTTCATAACTTGTATACATTTTTGCAGGTACAAACTCAGAAGTATGTAAGCATTGTATAATGTGACAATTGTATAATTTATGTAATCTGATGCATGAATCAGAATTTTTATATAATATATGATTATTGACTTATAGTTGATTAAAGTGTTTAAACTTAATTCAGTTGTCAACATTTATTACAGATACCACAGTGTTAACGTAATGGATTTATATATGAGTCCTCCTTGTCTTTTAATAATTATCTAGGATGCCTCTTATGTGGTTTATTGTAGCACATATTCTGTAAGACCTGCAAACTTATTTTACTATGAAAATCGTTCTGAAAAGTCATTCAAAAGAGTAGTTTTTAAGTATAAGTGAACATTCTTCAACGAATTTGTGGATGCCCTCTACATGTAATAGATCCCCTCATAGGGATAGAGCTTACAATTTAGTAGAAATGATATTTGAGTATTTATATATAGGCTAAGGTCTATGTCAAGCATTTTCTATTTATGCTTTATATTTCACAACAACCCTGAAAGGTAGGGAATGCACAAGCTTCCAGAGGAAATGTAAGAAAACCCTTTGTGGTACTCAAGAAAGTAGAATAGTGTTTACCAACCCAAGTGTTTCGCACCACTTCTTATCCTCCAGCTCGTACCAGAAGTCATTAATCAGTCACCACTTCCAGTCCCCTCAACACAGCAGTGTAAGTGCACCCTTCTCCATCCAATTTTTGTGGCAGTGTATTACTACATTTTTATGGCAGTGTATTAGGTAGTTGTATTCTAGATTATGGGACGTAAACCATATGTAGTCTTAGACATAAGTCATACATATTTGGCACAAAGGATTTCTCAGCAGGCCAGAATACCTTTCTGTTCTGGAATGGT